ACACATATACACTATATTGCCAAAAGTATTTGCTCACCTGCCTTGACTCACATATGAGCTTAAGTGACATCCCGTTCCTAATCCATAGGGTTCAATATGACGTCGGTCCACCCTTTGCAGCTAGAACAGCTTCAACTCTTCTGGGAAGGCTGTCCACAAGGTTTAGGAGTGTGTTTATGGGAATTTTTGACCATTCTTCCAGAAGCGCATTTGTGAGGTCGCACACTGATGTTGGACGAGAAGGCCTGGCTCTCAGTCTCCGCTCTAATTCATCCCAAAGGTGTTCTATCGGGTTGAGGTCAGGACTCTGTGCAGGCCAGTCAAGTTCATCCACACCAGACTCTGTCATCCATGTCTTTATGGACCTTGCTTTGTGCACTGGTGCACAGTCATGTTGGAAGAGGAAGGGGCCAGCTCCAAACTGTTCCCACAAAGTTGGGAGCATGGAATTGTCCAAAATGTCTTGGTATGCTGAAGCATTCAGAGTTCCTTTCACTGGAACTAAGGGGCCAAGCCCAGCTCCTGAAAAACAACCTCACACCATAATCCCCCCTCCACCAAACTTTACACTTGTCACAATGCAGTCAGACAAGTACCGTTCTCCTGGCAACCGCCAAACCCAGACCCGTCCATCAGATTGCCAGATGGAGAAGCGCGATTCGTCACTCCAGAGAACGCGTCTCCACTGCTCTAGAGTCCAGTGGCGGCGTGCTTTACACCACCGCATCCGACGCTTTGCATTGCACTTGGTGATGTATGGCTTGGATGCAGCTGCTCGACCATGGAAACCCATTCCATGAAGCTCTCTGCGCACTGTTCTTGAGCTAATCTGAAGGCCACATGAAGTTTGGAGGTCTGTAGTGATTGACTCTGCAGAAAGTTGGCGACCTCTTCGCCCTATGCGCGTCAGCATCCGCTGACCCCGCTCCGTCAGTTTACGTGGCCTACCACTTCGTGGCTGAGTTGCTGTCGTTCCCAAACACTTCCATTTTCTTATAATACAGCTGACAGTTGACTGTGGAATATTTAGGAGCGAGGAAATTTCACGACTGGATTTGTTGCACAGGTGGCATCCTATCACAGTTCCACGCTGGAATTCACTGAGCTCCTGAGAGCGACCCATTCTTTCACAAATGTTTGTAAAAACAGTCTGCATGCCTAGGTGCTTGAATTTATACACCTGTGGCCATGGAAGTGATTGGAACACCTGATTCCAATAATTTGGATGGGTGAGCAAATACTTTTGGCAATATAGTGTATTTATACACATATATATGTAGTACAAATGTAAGTGGATAAATATTGATTGAACTATTAAATTTGTTTATAGAATTTATTTATGGATTTACTTCATAGAAGTACTTCCTTATGGTAAAAGGAAATTTGTTTGAAATTCCAGCCATGCTGATGCACTAAGAGTGCTGAGTGTGTACACAGTGATGGCGAGGTCGACATTAGGTGAACTGCCAGTAAAGCACACAAACATGAAGTATACACAATAATGAAAAGCTCAACCAGACCTGAAGGCAATTTAAGGTGGGTTGTTGTGTAGAAACTGATAAAAATTGGGGAAATTTCATGTCACACTTCACACCCTTCATCAACTCGTGTTTCTTTCTTCACAGCCTAATAACAAAACTTATTGTTGGGAGTGTTTTTACTTCTCCTGTGTTCAATGTAATTTCCCTAATTGTGAATAATTGGATAATGGGGGTGGGGTAGGGATGGAGAACTGGTGTGAAACTAGTTACAGTAATTACTACAAACTACTTTGACCTTTTTTTTTTCTTCTAGATTTCAACAGAAAGTGTATGCCTATGAATCACATCGTTTGTATCCTGTTAATGTAAAACAGTTGACAGCAAATTAAAATAACACATAAAGCCAATACCTCCAACAAAGAAATCCTTCACACACCTGGATGATGCAACAGCTCTCAAACCGACCGTGTCACAGCGATTGTTTCTTTCTATGAAATATGAGGATGTAGATAATAAGGATGAAGTTAAACAATACATTCCTAGACGTTGTCACTGAGGTAGGAGTTTCCCATGATGCTGTAGAGGATATAAAGGCTGAGAGAAATGAATTTAACAGCATCCAGACTCACTGAGAGCAGGAGAAGACTGAGCAGACAAGAGGTATGGAAAGAAATCTTATGCTTTAGTTAGTTTAGACTTTGAACAATAACATTTTATACTTCAGCAAAAAAGAGGGCGCATTCTTTGACCATCTTATGCAGTATTTAGAAATCAGCTGTCATTACTATATATTTGTGGTAGTAATACTGAAACACTGTTTATGTAGTTTTTTTCCCCTTATGCCTTCAAGTAATGAACTTCCTTCAAGCACGTAATGAGTTGTAATTTCTGCAAACTCAGCACAACTGGGTGGAGTAGTGCTTATTTTTAAGTGAATGTTCCAGATTTTATTTAAAAAGTGGGGAAACAAACAAGTTTAATTTAAGAACACATCCTTGATGACATTCACTGAATTTAAACCTTGCTTAACCTTCAAATTCCATCTTCAGTTTGTTTCTTACCAACCTTGGAAGGAGAAACAGAAAGATGAACACACCTGCAGCTAAACTACAGGAGAGCTACAAACAGGAGGGCTTCCTCTCAGCGCTGCCTGTGCTGAACGAGACAGAACTGAGGGAGGCCAGGGAGGCTTTCGCTAAGCTGGAGGAGGAATTTGGTATGTAGGATGCAAAGGGATGGGAAATTCAAGAAAATAGTCAGAAGTTGAGTAATATAGACAGAAGTTAAAGAAAACCTGGTGCAAAGAATGCTAAAGGATATAGAATTGCAAAATCCGCAAAAATCTTAAATATTGAGTTTATGCGTAATAAAGTGGGATGACAAAGGAAACGTGACATCTATTTAAAGTTCAGCAGAAAAGCTTGTTTTGGCAATGATGCCTTTAATACATCTTTAGTATGAAGATAATAGTTGTTTGCATTCCAACATGTGACTTTAATCCATTCCTCTGCACAAACTTTCTTCATATCATCAGGGTTCTGTGCTCTCTGATCTTAGGTTCATTGTGTAAATTTTCTGTTGGCACCAAAAATCTACTAAACTGAAAACCAAAAACTCAGGGTCCCAAAAGGGGAGAATTATAACACATTGTACCAATATGTGAAATAAAAATGTGTGATCAGTCATAATAAGACATCAAAGTTTAATTGTTTTTATAAATTTTAATGATAATTGTTTATTACTCCACTTTCAAATAAAACACACAAATGATCACAAACTGAGAGAGTTGAAATCAACACTGTGAAGCACAATTTTTTAACAGTCTTTCACAGTCAGGCTCCATCCTACATTAGAGACTTGTTGTGTCCTCATACCGCCTCTCAGAGGCTGAAGTCTCAGGACCAGAACCTGCTCATACTGTAGTTCCTCGCACTCGTTACAGGACCAGGGGAGATCGCTCCTTTCAGGCGGTCGCGCCGGCGCTCTGGAACCTCCAGAGGGCGGGAATCTCCCGCTTTCCTTGCGCTTACTTTATTCTGTTGATTTTTTAAGAGCGAACTGAAAACCTATTTGTTTAACAAAGCATTTTAATTCTAGGAGATGTAAATGTATGTATGACCGTAAATTCATTATGATTTGTATTGTAATTTTGTGAAGCACTTTGTGACCTCTGTGTCTGGTGCTATATAAATAAACATTACTTACTTACTCACTAATTTATACATTTTGCAGACTAATGAAGTATCAATCTGGGGTTTATATACAGATAGGAAAATCAATCTCTGCTTTGACTCATCACAAAGGTGTTCTCCTCTAAGGCTGAAGATTTAGGGTGAAGCCAATATGTGCTGTGTACCGGGCTTGCAACTTTCATTGTTGCTTTCATGTCTGTACTTCTGGTCTATGATCACCAAGCAATCTTAGGCATGACCATGAGTCAGTTACAAAATGGACAACTATGGATAAAGCATTAAACTTAGGGAAGGAATTCACTTACTGATTAATTTTGGAGGTACAAATTTCAGATGGCCACCTGATGGCTGATGGTAAATATTGATAGAGATTTCTGGATTGGAGAATGATCCAGACCATCGTCACTGTTTCCATGCTTACTTTTGCAGCTGTTTTAGTTACCTGCCTGTGTTCTTATGTTCCATATGTCAGAGCTCTGATGGTCGGGTGATCTCAGCTACCATTGAGAAGAGGAGCGCAACTATTAAACCTCGTCCTTGTCAAATATGGGATTCTGAATAGCTGAACTTGTCATCTGTGTGAAACATCTTTATGTTATGGTTTAAACCTTTTACATTGAGATTTATCTTTTTTACTCATAAGGTTTAGGTTTAATCATTTAACTTACACTTTGTATACATAAAGGAGTCTATTTTTCGATTGATTCGACCTTTTCTCTTTTAAGGAAAAAAGGGTAACTTATGAAGATAAGAGTTAAAAATAATACATTTTCAGCATAAAAAATATCTGATTGGAAAAAAGTTGAATTTATTTTTGTCAATGAAGTGAGATTCCAGGGCCCTATTTATTAGCCACATATTTTAGCTGTCATAATCCTTTCCAAGGGAACATTTTATGCCACAGATTGATTTACTCCCAGTACATACAAACCTGACTCCTGCTTACTCATCTGAACCTCATCAATCGTCATTGACTTCTTGCTTTTTATTTTTCAATGACTTAAAAAAATTATATATTTTTTATAATTGAAAGGGTGGAACCATGGTGGGGAAAAAAATCCATCTCCTATTAATTCACTTTTACATATATTGATTAATGAGGGCTGAGTTTCATTCATTCATGCCTCAGTGCTGCAAGGCTAGAAGGTGTCTAAGGGAGAGGGGTTTTTCATCCTATTAGGGAGTGTTTGGGATAAAATAATTGACAAGCTAGACTGTTTCTCAGGAATTATTTCATGGAATTGTATCTTGTTATTAAATGTCTGTAAGTGTTTTGAGTAACGGTATGTGGGGACCTTCACAGCTTTCCTGCAGGATGAAAGTGAAGTGAAATCCATCTATCGTTTATTTAACTGGACTGTATAGCTGAATACCTTTTTCCCACTGCACTCTAAATAGCACAATGAATAGGCTGGTCATTGGCTACTTGTCTTTTGCCTATGTTGTGGAACTTTAAAGGTCTTGTATTCATTTGAAAAATATCACCAATGCTATTTTACAGTTTTTGTGACAGTTTCTTAAGTGACTCCCAAATACCAGTCATGGATTCCCAGACAATATAAATAGCACTGATCACACAGTAGCAATCTTTTTAGGCAAGTTTCAGGGTTTCTTGAACCATAACGCCGATTCCATCAAAGATCTTGTGAAAGGGAGCGTTGCACATGAAGGCACAGGTGGTGACCAGCTTGTTTTTGACATCAACATGAGCTTCATCCACCTCTTTGTTCACATGTTTGCAGCCCAGGTCCTTCATAGCTCCAGCTGTCTGAGCATACGGCCACCTGAAGAAAAAAACACATTGTAGGGTCACAACATATCTCTGAAACTAGTAAATATGTTTTTCTACACTGAACATGTTTACACACTTTTCACACTCTTTGTCCTGCCCCACAGTGAGCTCACAGCCAGGCAGCAGCTTTGCAGCCAGGACAGGAGAAATGCAGGACATGCCCAGAGGCTTTCCAGCTTTATGGAAATCCTTGATTAGCTTCTCCAGGAGAGGCTGGATGGTGAAGTTCTTGTTCTTCACAGCCCAATCACACAGATTCTTAGCAACACCAAACCCTCCTGATAGAGACCCAAATTATTGTTCAGGAAAAACTTACATGCAAACATGTAAATTAGAGGATTTTCTCACAGCTCTCTCTGGGTCTATAGAAAGTCATCTCACCTGGAATGATGGCAGCATCAAATGCTGAGACATCCACTTGGCCAGATCCGTCACATCGCCCCTGGCGATACGGGCGCTTTCCTGCAGAATGTTCCTTTTCTCCTCTGTAGGTTTTCCCACACAGTGATTAACAACATGCATTTGATCCTCATCTGGAGCAAACATCTGCAACTGGAGTCAAACAATCAACACGGTAAATCTTCGAAAAACAAGTTAACAACTGCTGGATTCTATAAACACATTGTTTTGATAGATAAATACTAATATTTTGGTTTTTACTTTAGCTCCGGCACGACTCAGATGGATGAGCACAGCTGAGGCCTCGTGGATTTCTGTACCATCGTAAACTCCACAGCCTGACAGAATAACTGCAACACGCTTCACCATGATTACTGAAACAATAGAAAAGACATCTTCACCCAGTCAACAGACCAATTAAGATATTAGAGGAAATATTTCATGTATTCTTCATGATTAGGATTGAATTTCTGTTTCCCCAGGATTGGACAAATAAATGGCCACCTGGTGGCTTCTGCATGCTAATGTAAAACATTCACAGTCCTGTTTTGGTGTTTTATGTGCAAATATTTAACCTATGATAATGTAAATGCCACATTTTTAAATAAAATATGCTCACTGATGTGAGCAGAGTGCATAAGTCTTTTTCTTATTAGTAACAAAGTATTTAAAGGTTATTTTTTAAATGTATTTTAATATGGTAAATTAGGTGTCTGTTTTTAAATTCAGAACCTTTTTCTCTGAGCACTAGCCGTATGACACACTACTAAGCTATATTTACGTTTATATCATTGTTACTAGTGTAGTAATCCAAGTTATGGGTTATTCATGGTAACTCACACGAAGCTATAACAGACATTCTCATTTTAAAACAGCTTTTTAAGGTTAAAAACTGAACTTGGGTTAAATGATGCAACCCTCGTTTTATGTGGGGTTGATGTTATTAGATGTTTAATAACAGTTAAATAGAATAAAAGACAAACAGGTCCAGAGCATAGATTACTAACCTTAATTTTGTTTTGCAGCCGGCCTATTTGTCCTGTGTGCGAACAGGAGCTCTTGAGGGGAGAACTGAAGGCAGGTTTCTTAGCAGGGCAGCTTTATAACACTAACATCCCGCCTCCCACCCCATCACTCCCATATTACACACATACAACAAAATCCTTACTCATAATGACTGTTTTAAAGTCCCATAGGCGATTACGCAAAGATGTTGAGATGTCTCAGACGAGTGGGTTCAGAAAAAGGAAGTGACTGAGGTTTAATATCGTCACAACAAAACTCAAAAGTACTTTTTTAATCCAGTTGGATGTAAGTGTGGCTCTCAGGGTTAGATGACTGAACAACAAAACAATGATAATGACAATAACAATGATAATAATCAGGCCTAAAGATATTAAGAAATAGATTTCACATTTCCCTTGTGTTTTTTTTCTTTTTTTTCCTGGAAAACTAAATTAGCTGAGACTCCCACTGCTTTGATTGGGCTGTGTGATTTCCTGAGAAGGAAACGCTCCACCTTTGGCGTGTGGTTCTGTATATTTATATGACTCACAGCTGTATAAAAGTCCCTTTCACATCATTACTGAGCAGCACTGTGACTATGGCTCAGTCCAACTCAATATATGTTTCCGTCGGCATCCTGGGCATTTTAGGAGGTAAGACTTTAAATCTACATTAATTCCTTTGTTGGTGCTGTTGGGCTTTTTTGCAGTATACATATAGTAAGCCTACATTTGTCATTTAAACTAAAATAGCAATCAGGCCCTTTTGGAAGTTTATGTGTGATTGCCTTTCACACAAGATAAATTGCCAGTGTTTGCAATTTGATAAATGTATTTTTCCCCCTCATTTTACATCCTGTCATATATTTAGATTTGATCACTTACTCGGTTAAGACAGGTTTAAACCAAAACATGAATTATCATAATACGTCTCTCCCAATTTTTGAGCACAAGTGAGGGAAAAAAATATACAGTACAACAAAGTTTATAAGATCATGTATTATGTCTTAAAAGCAATAGCGTTCATAAAAAGAGAAAACTTGGGATACATTATGATTTCAAAATGTTTTCAATTTCATCAATAACATTTAACTTCAAAGTCAATGGTTAATTTTCTTTCTTTGTTTCTTTGTTTCTTGCTTTCTATATATATATATATATATACATATATATATATATATATATATATATATATATATATATATATATATATATATATATATATATATATATATATATATATATATATATATAGGGTGAAGAAAGAAAGAATATATATATATATATATATATACATGTATATATATATATATATATATATATATATATATATATATATATATATAAGATGAAATGATAAAATTATACCAAAAAGTTTAAATCGTTGATTATATATTTGATTAATCATTTTAATCATTTTCTTAATGTTATTCTCATTTTAATCCTTTGTTTTTATTCGCTTCAATTATTTATGTTTCCTTTATGCCACTGCAATATACTTGTCTTTTTCTTCTCATGTACAGCTCTTTAAATTGTCTTTCTAATGAAATATTCTATGTAAACAAACGTGTCTTAAAATTACAGTTGGTTTTAAATTTTACTAGAAAGCATTCAGTGTAAACTCATCTGAAAAATATATGAAACTATAAAACTTTATCCTCTGACTTACTGCAAAGGTCTACATAAATGTAATGTTTGTCAAACATATATTTCCACTTTTTGTATTATCACCCTAAATTCAATATAGAAATGTCAGATTTACTACTGTCAAGACATGCATAATTCAACATCTTGATTTTTTAAAATATCTTATAAACAATATAATTTTAATGTAAAACTTGGTATGCTTAACAGACATTGTTACTGTGGCTATTGTAAAATCTATTTCTACTTTTCTTTTTAAAAAATTATTCAAAAATAGGTTTATTTTTATGTTTTTTTGATATTCACATTAATTGTCATTGACTTCCAGGTTCCCTCCTGCTGTTGGTGAACAGCTATGCCAGCTCGTTTGAAGAACCCTTCATTCCTCACTCGGCACTGGGCATTTTACTCCTCATCATCGCAGCCCTGGTCGCTTACACAGGTTTGTTTTCAACATGTTTTCCTACACACATTTGAATTCTCTGCCTGTTTCCAGGCTCCTGACCCTACCTTGTCTCTTTCCAGGAGTTCGTCACAGTCTCTCTCACTCCCAGTTGTTTTCCACTCTGTGTCTGACCATCTCTGCTCTCTGGTGTGGTTCTGGTCTGGTGTACATCCTGATAGGACAGAGTGTGTTGCTACTTTCAGAGCTAAAATCCTCTCTGATCCCTGGCCTTGGTGCATTTACCTTAGCCCTCTTCATCATAGGCACTGCTGCTGTCTTTATGAATAACCCTGTTTTACTGGTGATAGCTGTCAGCATTTCTTTGGCCTGTGCCCATCAAATTGCTGGTCTTTCAGATTCAGGATTTGGTCAGTCTGCCACAGCTGCAAACTACCTCCTTGTTTGTCTTGTGTGCGCTTACTTTGGCTTTGGTCGTTTGCTGTACACCATCACGCAGGGTAAAATTAAACCTCCAGGTACAGTTATGAAACAAAAATCTGAGCTAAAAACAGAAAAGAACCAGAGCTGCAGTGATGCAGTCAGTGTAGGTTTGGTGATGAACTTGTTATCTGCATCTGTATTAGCCTGTCCCTTGTTAGGCGTGGTCCCCAAACTCTCTGTTGGCCACGTCCCCTGGCTTTGGACAGCTGGAGTCTTCCAGCTTGGCATGTGCATCCTCTTTTACAGAGCTATGGACATACTAGCTGCAACTTTTTATGGCTTTGCATCCCTGCTGAAATTTGCTGAGGGTTACAGTGCTTTGTTATCTCTGTACTCCATCCAGCCATTCTCTCCAGTCCCTTTCCCTGTTGTCTTTGCAGTTCTTTTCTCTGTCCTGGCGTTGTTCAGCTGTCAGAAGAGCTTGTTGGAGGGCTTCTACCAGTTATTCTATGTAGCCTATTGTATTTCCATCGCAGCACAGCCTCAAGGCTTCTTCCAGGGAGGCACTCAGGGTGTACAGGGAGCTATCTTTGTAGCTACTGCAGGAATGCTTTTTGTTACTACATTCAACATGGTCTCTAGTAGCAAGATTCCTACTGGGCAGGGTCACTTTAAATCTTTAGTAAATAGGATTAAAACTCTTACTCTCAGGGCTCTCGATAAAGAGCGACATACGCCTCATCTTGGCTATTCCAAGTATGCAGATGCAGAAGTGTTGGGCCATGCTTGCAATGTTCTGGCTGCTTTTGCCATTACAGCCACCATTGGGGACAGGAACCCCTTGGAGGTGTTGGTTCTACCCTGGGCCGTAATGGCTGGTGGAGTGTTGCAACTACTTTGTGGTTCTGTGGCATTTGCTCGGGGTAAAACCTTTGAGAGCACAGCCTTTATTCTCTATGGGGTGATGTGGACAGTATGGGGGTTAACACGATTCGGTGGTCTTTATGGTGAGACCAGAAGCTTTAACGTAGCTGTTGGGATTATTAGCTTCATGTTGTTTAACCTTCTGGTGACAATTGCAGCTTTATTTCTAAATGTTGCCTGGTTCATCTATGCATTTACTTTCCAGCTCATCCTAATCAGCTTCCTGCTTGATGCAATAGGTGCAATGCCTTATGGTTATGATATTGGCGTCACAATCATCTTTGGTCTTGTCAGTTTTTACTGTTTTTTGGCGCACCTTTTTAATAGCACCTTTCAAGCTCCCCAAATCCCTTTAGGAAAACCTTTAGTCAAGCTGGGTGGGGTCGGAGGAGGGGAAGGAGTCTGTCCTCATGTACCAGCTCGCAAAGCATCATCAGTCCAGCAGATTGCAGGTAGAAATACATAACTTATCATTTTTTTGCTTAAAGCTATTTAGATGTTTGACCTGGACTCAGCTTTCACACTTTTCTCTGTTTTTTTGGATGCAGAAATAATGAAAAATGGAGGCATATGTGGAATGCCAACTGACACTGTCTATGTGCTGGTAGCTGCCTGCAACAGACCAGATGCAGTTATCAAAGCTTACAAGTAAGTCTCATTATATTGAAACTGTCACAGTTATTTATTTCCCCATCAAGAATCACTGCTGTTTGGTTTTAGGGTTAAGAAACAGGCTCAGGACCGACCCATGTCTATGTGGATCTCTTCTGTCAAGCAGCTGGAGCCTGTTAGACACCTGCTGAGCCCTCTGCTCCTCGACTTCATGGAGGCTGCATGGCCTTCATCAATTAGCATGGTCATACCCAGAGGTGAGAGAGTCAGTATTTTCAGATGAGACTTTATATGCATTTAGAAAAGTACTTTTTAAATTTTTTATGGGTTTCGTGGGCTTACTCTTACAGGTCCTTGGTTAGATGTATTTGGTTTGGGAGATGCTGCCATACACATTGGAACTCCACAAAGCATTGCCATCAGAAGCCCAGACTGTGCAGTAGCCACACATCTAATTAATCTGGTAAACTCTAACATTAGGCACAAAAGATCATCAGAGTTCAAATAAATATAACTTAATTGACTGACTTGGTTTTATGTCTGAAAGGTGGGTCCAATTGCAGTCACCTCAGCCAACCCCACAGGTGAAGCAGACACAACTCACCATAACCAAGTGTATGCCAAACTGGGTAAAAAGGTAATAACCAGGATTTAGTTCTGATGAGTTCAAAGAAAAATAAACACATTCTTGGTTTGTAGTAAATATGTTTAGTTTTTTGTTTTTTTTGTTTAGGTGGAAGGGGTGTTGTGTGATGGACCGTCCCCAGAGAATATTGCCTCTACTGTCATTGACTGCACCAAGATTGAAACTGGACATATTGGTTTCTTCAGAGTGGGACTCATTCCAAAATCCAAGGTAACAAAGATTGTTGATGTTTTCCTGTACTAGTAGAATAAACTGTTTCATTCTGGTGATTATTGATATTGAGGCTTTCCATTTTGTCTTGCACTTCAGGTTCTTCAGATATTTGAAGAGGTACGGAATCGGCACAGACAAGGTTATATCAATCCAGGATTCGAACATGATCTACCTTTACAAGATATGGAAAGAGACCAAAGTTCAACAGACACA